CGGGGCTCCGCCCCGGTCCCCGAGTGTTGGGGGTATTCCCCAGCCGGGGCTCCGCCCCGGACCCCGGGTATTGGGGGGAATGCAGACAAACCTATAAAACCTAACCTAACCTCCCCAGAAAAAAGCAATGTTAACCTAACCTAACGGACCCCGAGTGTTTGGGGGTATTCCTAACCTAACCCTGGCTGGGGTTAGGTTAACCTAACCTAACCTAACCCGGACCCCGAGTGTTGGGGGTATTCTCCAGCAGCCGGGTATTAGGGGGCATGCAGACAAACCTATAAAACCTAACCTAACCTCCCCAGAAAGAAGCAATGTTAACCTAACCTAACGGACCCCGAGTGTTTGGGGGTATTCCCCAGCCGGGGCTCCGCCCCGGACCCCGAGTGTTGGGGGCATTCCCCAGCCGGGGCTCCGCCCCGGACCCCGAGTGTTGGGGGTATTCCCCAGCCGGGGCTCCGCCCCGGACCCCGAGTGTTGGGGGTATTCCCCAGCCGGGGCTCCGCCCCGGACCCCGGGTATTGGGGGGCATGCAGACAAACCTATAAAACCTAACCTAACCTCCCCAGAAAAAAGCAATGTTAACCTAACCTAACGGACCCCGAGTGTTTGGGGGTATTCCTAACCTAACCCCGGCTGGGGTTAGGTTAACCTAACCTAACCTAACCCGGACCCCGAGTGTTGGGGGTATTCCCCAGCCGGGGCTCCGCCCCGGACCCGAGTGTTCGGGGTATTCCCCAGCCGGGCTCCGCCCCGGACCCGGGTGGGTATTCCCCAGACCCCGGTCGCCCCCCCCCCGGGGGATTCCCCAGCGGGGCTCCGCCCCAGACCCGAGTATTTTCCTTACTTAAAGACCTATTACATTTTTGGGGGGAATTTAAAATAAAAACTATCGAACATACCTAAGCAGAAGAGGGACCAGGTTGAGGGTCGTCGGGGTCCGAGTCCGTTGAGGCAGGGGCGACGGCAGGGGCGACGTTTCGTCGCTCTCTGATGGGGAGGGTACAGCCGAGCAGCTTCGGTGAGGAATTTGTGGAACCTCAGGTGCTTCGTGTTCTTGATGAACAAATACCGCGATAGATACTGTTGAAAGTATTGTGGCCGGTTCCCAGGACGTTTCACCCACTCCTTAACGTCCCGCCACAATCTCTCAATGTTCTGCGTGTGAATTGACCTGTCACCAGGATCCACAAACTCCTCCGAATGATTAATGACTCGATGGGTGTATCCCTCCTCGTCGAGACCAAGGTACGCTCCCCAACCGTCGCTACAAATGATGGAGCCAGGGAGAATAAATTTCTTAATCAAGGGAACGAGTGTTTCCTTGTTCCTGTTGGGAGAAAGAGGAGGGACCAAAGGAACCAAGAAAGATTTCTTAGATTCCCTCTCAATTCCTCCGAACACCCAGATGTTGCTCAGCTGCCTCCCGCGGCCGTACTTCCTCTTGCCAAAACAGGACTCGTCAATTTCTACGACGACCTCAGGTCCTCCAATTGCTTCTTGATTATTAAGCCAGTTCTGTGTAACCTCTGAGCAGAAGCTACGCCAGTCAACGCTGGTTCTCTCTGCCCAACCGAGGTTTTCAAATACAATGTGGTGGTTCCAAATTTTTTCTAAAAAAAACACAATAAAAACCACCAGATCTGAGGGAGCGACGTGAGCATTTTCGAGGAATGTCCCCTTATAGTCACTTACAGTGAAGAAGCACTGCTTCCGCCTTTTAGTTTTTGCAATTTTTGTCCAGCGGCTGCAGAACCACCTTCCATCACGAAGCGTGCACGGTAAATTGCAATGCTTGCAAAGTACTTGCGAAGGAAGAACACCGTGATTCCGTAGAACTTCCAAGCTAGCTTCGTTATCTTCAAAATATAATTTGATAAGTTTCATGGGCTTGTTGTAACATCTATCACAAAGCGAAGCCATGGTGAGACTGACTTCGAATTTTAATTTACCAAACCGCTCTTTCTTAATATTGTCCATTGATTGGTTGCTTCCGTATCCTTTGTTTCCGCCTGTTTCCCTATTCGTGGAAAAATAACCGCCAAACATTTAGCCAATCAAATGATGGCACTAGTCGTGACGTCACTGGAAAAATAACACGAATACTACACGTACGATTGACTCCGCGCATGCGCAGTAGCGAAATTGATCAGTTTTTCCTGAGCTCGCGAAGAGGAAAGAACAAGACTAATATATTTTTTTTTATTATTTTGAAAATTAAATAGCTTGTTTATGATTCGATTGCGAGATAAGATTATTTAAGAAAAAAGTTTAGAAAATTAAAAAACTT